CGCTGCTCTGGCCAGGCTGAGGAAGGAGGAGTCGTGTGTTACTTTCACTGAGGACTACAGGTGAGTCCGCGGGAGGACGCACGGCGACTGAGGAAAGATTACAAGCCAAAGGTGCCCGGGCCACAGCCGCTCCCCGCTTCGACGGGGGACAGCAGCAGAAATTCAGAGGGGGAGGAATATGCTTTTCCTCTGTTTTTTTCACACGCCCAGAACTATTTAAAAATCCCACGACCTTGCAGGGCAGAGCCCTCCGGATAGCACTCAGCTCTGTTTTTAAAGCAGACCCATTGCTGGGCAGGGTCAGGGATGCCCCTGCCCTGAGTTGATGCTTGGATTTCATAAGCATGCCTCGCATTTCTGACAGAATCGTCTCGTGTGGTGATGCCAGCGGTGTTTTACGTGGCACGTTCATGCGGCTTCCAATCTAACAAACAGCCCTTTCACAGACACGAAGTGGTCTTGTGGCACTTTACGGCACGTCTACCCTGCAGGGCTACAGTCAAATTAAGCTACACAGCTTCAGCCATGTCAATTGCGTAGCTGAAGTCGAAATAGCTTACCTCGGCTTTGGCGCTGTCGACACGGAGGAGCACTCCTCCTCCGACTTCCCTTACTCCTCGTACAATGAGGGTTACAGGAGTCGGAGTAAGATGTCCTCCAGCTCGACACTATGTCGAAATAACAGCGTGCTGTGTAAATGCGGACTGTGTAGACATAGCCTAAGGTGCCAGTTGTTTTTAAAATTACAGGCTAACATGGTGACCTCTCTGAGTCTTTCAGAGAGAGTCTGTGGCCTGTATTTTCTGATGCATTGAGATCTGTCTGCGGTTAGCCCCCAGAAAAGATGTGCGCATTGACCAGTCAGTTTGTGGTGCAAACAGCAGTGGTTAGGGTTCTCTCCGATTTGCACTTGCTATAAAGAGGCGACCCCCTCTTGGCACCGCATGGAAATATATGATATGGTTTGCTGTAGGTTGTACTTCCTTGGTCTGGCATCCTCAGGCCCAGACTGATCCCAAACCGTTAAGTCCATTTGTCTGCAGTGTCTGTCTTGCATCCATTTCCGTATTTGCCCATCCTGTATTATCCAGGTTTATTGAGGGTTTGGAGAATTTCTACCCCCAGACTAGAGACCCACCCCAGCCTGGGATGCCAACCTGGTACTCAATTTCCTTATGAAACGTCCATTCAAACCTTCAGCCACCTCTTCTCTACTCCGTGGAGCTATGAAAATGGCCTTTTTAGTAGTCAGCGTGTCGGCCGGTCAGTGAGACGATGGCAGATCCCTCTGCCCTGTTCTGTGTTTTTCAAGGGTAAGGTTTCTTTACACCCACACCCTAAATGATTCTCTCAGAGTTCTGCCTTTATCGGTCTGTTCATCTACCGGTGGTTTCCCGAAAGACACATAAGTCTTGTTTCCATGCTCTCGATGGTAGAAGGTTGTCGGCCTTCTACTTAGATAGGGCCAAGTGGTTTCCCAAAAGACACATAAGTCTTGTTTCCATGCTCTCAAAGGTAGAAGGTTGCCGGCCTTCTACTTAGATAGGGCCAAGCAATTCTGAAGGTCACCCAGGTTGTTGCTCTCTTTCCCAGCTGGATGCCAGGGATCCATGATTTCTGCTCAGAGATTCCTGGTAGTCTGTCGGTGAGATGTGGCAGGATGTGGCTCTGTGACATATGGACACATAGGGGCAGAATCACTCTTGTGCACATGCTTAGCTTTGGTGTTTCCTGAAGAAGCAATGGGCTTAAACTGCAGCAGGGGAGGTTTAGGTTGGACATTAGGAAACTTCCTGCCTGTCCAGGTGGCTAAACACTGGAAGAAGTTGCGTGGGGAGGTTGTGGAATCTTCATCACTGGAGATATTGAAGAGCAGGTTGGACAGACACCTGTCAGGGATGGTCTAGACGGTGCTTGGTCCTGCCGTGAGGGCAGGGGACTGGACTTGATAACCTCGCGAGGTCCCTTCCCTACTTCTAGCTTTCTATGATTCTGTGACTTTTAGGTATGGATTGTGCAGTTTTATCAGCCATTAGACAACTTTTCTATTGAAAAGGCCTTGTAGTCTCATTTTCTACAAAAGAGTTAAACTGCAGTTGTACATTTTGCTCTAGCGTTCCCCTGCCAATGTTTTGTCACTTGAGTCACGCTTTCCTGTTATTTCAAATGCTTCTCTGTCTCCTGATGCTGTGGGGAAGCCCGACATACACCGGGGCATGGGAGTTGCTGGGATGGCCTGGACGGGGCAACTTATACACAAGGTGTGGTCAGAGGCACAAAATAGTCAAACCAAAATGGGAGGAAATGAGAGATTTCTCCCATCCGTCCTGGGGAACACCAGCACTTGAATTCATTGCACTAAAGCAGTTCGGGTTTTTCGTTGACTGTGCCACTTTTAGAACGTCCATCGATAAGGCATAGGCAAGACTGATATCGTTTGCCGTCTTTCTCATTTGTGTGCCATGACGGGCGACAGGCCAGCTCCGTCCTTGTCTGGTGCCTGTACTGAACCGCGCTGAGCCAAACTAGACAGGATAACCCCGGGACACTTGCTGGCTCTGAGCACTTAATTCCGCTTGCTAGTTTGTGGCTCGGTGTGACAGAAAATTCAAGTCATAAAGTGGGAATCCGGAGCAAAACAAACCCA